TACGATACGTACGAACTTAATGTTAAGTTGCAGGTAAGCTAAGTATATAGTTATAGTAGGTATACTGCAATTCCAAATAACGTTCTGTTGCTTTTCACAAATTTATCCATGTGACCCAAACATCTTCGAAACATCATAAAAATCCCCAAAAGGCCAAATAACATGACAGTTTAGAATTGACCCATAACCAACTAAATTAAGATTATAAACTTAACTCGTAAATATTGATTACATTCACGAAATCAATCAAAACTATCAAACTAAGTAATTGAATTCGTCTAAACATCTGGGCAACTGGGAAATGTCTTGGAGCTTCAAGCATGGTTGCATCACAGGCTATTTATATGACCTGGCACTGCGACGAGTACTTATTAGCAATTTGAACACACTAATGGTTGTACAATTCTGCAGAACGAGACGTACGGTCAGATAGGCGTCAGTGCTGGTTGTATATAGCAATGGGACAGTGAGGCAACCCAACAGACAATCTGACAAATGACCCTTAAAGACGTTTGCCCATTGAAGTAGTGACCTCAGAAACAACAAAAAAGTTCTTGTCATACCTTGTGAACATTTCAGAGCGGCCTAAGTCCTTTTCTTATAACTATATTGATATTAAAAAAATAAAATGAAATAACGATACCTCTTGTAAGAAAGCGTCATTAACTAATCACAGCCCAATGATGACTACTAACTGTGTTTAGAAACAAAGTTATCACTCTACAACAAGGCAACTAAACAAACAACAAGGTAAGATGTAACAAATAAGGCAATTCTTATAATGTATGATGTAATACTTACTTACTTAATGATTAATTACTTCCTGTTAAGTTTTTTTTTTTTTTTTTTTTTTTTTTTAAGGTTTAATATTTTTCAAAGCCGTCTAAACTGAAATCAAAACAAAACTCAAAAGTTATGAAACCGTTTGTAATAATAATTTTAGGTATCTGAACATATATAATGAAAAAAATATTGTCTCTTTGGAAATAGGCCAGTTATTAAAATAACTTTGTTTAAATAACGATAAATAAGTTATTACTGGTTCGATTTTCATCACCAGATGTTCAATGGATGCGAAATGTTGTGCTCTACAATTCATTTACGATGTTTTTTTCTGTAGGATGGATGGTCTTTTGACGTTTTAGCGAAAACTAAAAAATAAACCTAAATTTAAAGGTTTGTGTGGTCCCAGGTCAGAAGCTTACCTGGAAAAATGGGACAAACTTCAAATCCTTTTACTTCTATATAAAATAGACATATAAAACAATTTCCGGAAATTATTTCCAGGCACAGCCAGTTTTTCAAACTAATTTTACTGGCCTGAAATACAAACTAAAGTTACTAGAACCAAAGAACGATTTTATTTCAATATTGTTGTTCTATTTGCTTTAATCTGAACCTACCATATCAAATATTGTTTCTGCAGGTCATGCAACGAGTGAAATGTCTATCTCAATTGCTTCAGGGCTTCATTATTTCTTCATTGTTCACGACTCTTGTATATTATTCATAACTGCGTTTATTATTTTATTCACAAGACTGTTATGAATGGACTCTTGATTACTGCTAAAGTAAAGTAATATTAAAATAGCATTGTTTGATTGGACATTTATGCATAGATTACACAGTAGACACGTCTAAACCATTTCTACCATTTAATCTATGGTTTAAGCTCGATGGGTTTAAGTTATTATCTGACCCCACTATTAGAATCCACACATAAAAGTTTAGGTTTCCAAATCTTCGTAATGCATTCAGTATTTCTGAGTTAAGTTTTCCTTCGCACTTATTTACGACTGACCTACTGTCTGCTCAGTAGGTTGCGACACCTGATAGAATTTCCGGATTCCAACAAAAGTGACAAATTATTAACTGGACTTTCACTTTTCGCTTAAAAGCCACTGAACGATTTATGTTAACATTATACATTATATCAAGCTTGTCATATACTTAGTAAAAACTTAAATTTTAAAGCTCGGGAATATTTTGTGTCAAAAATCTCAAATACACTTTGTCAAGTTGATTTGAATTAAATAAAACAAATAATACTATTCAATCGGAAAAAAACATACTCATTTGTTCATTTATGGCATTTGCTTATTGTTCAACTTGAACAGATTGTAAATTAAATAAAGTTAAAAAAAATACGTACACATGAATTTATTTGAATACGATATATTTTTTTAGGGAGAGGAGGGAAAATGCTTTTAAGCACACAGGTAGCCAGCCTGTAAGACTCTTGAAATTATCAGACTACTCACTAAAAAACCCCCTCTACTCTGTTGGACACAGACCTGGAATTGTTTGTCACATTACTTCAAGCAGGTATATATAGTCAATGCTTCAAGTCATGCCAACATGTGACCTAAGCCCACAGGGCTAGCTCCGTTTCTGGCATTGAATAGCATGATAAAACTATTGTCTAAATTTTAATCCACCATTTGTTTGATAAAACTTCGAAAACAATTTGTAATGTTTTAAATACACCAATTGTACAGACTATAGTATTTTATTTGAAAGAACCACCTCAATGTTAATTTTTTGTTTTGGTTCAACTCTGTTCAGTTCACTTTGTTAACATGGTAAACTCTACTTTGCCAGACAGCTGAATGAAATCAATCAAGAGAATATTCTGTAAAATGATGTTAACGTAGTTGCAGTTTTTCATAACAGCCATGATATCGTGTATTACAGGATAGCAATCCTAGTTACAGTATTTTATTGTTAAATTTTTTTTACACAATGTATCAAAAGTCCAGAGTATTCACTCAATAGCATTCTTTTGTATAAATATAATAGAATATTACAAGAAAAAGTCTGAATTAACACAGTGAGTGTGTACTAATGATATTAATTATAGTTTGAAACTAAAAACATAGACGTGTGATTCGAATGCTTTCATCTTGACGAGTCACACTAGACGTGAGAAGTATCTCACAGTAGGACTCTGATACAGCTGTTCTCCGAACATGCGTGTGGCTGTCGTGTTAGCACTTCAACGAATAGCATAATAGTTAACATTCATTACAATGTATAATATAGGGGTTCATTATCTGTGCGCTGTATGTTTTATCTAGGTATAGTTTTATCTATGGCTGTACATAGCAGACGATGAACTGAAATAAACAACTAGAATCATGATGCTGTAGAATGGCAAATGATGAACAAAGCTTACAGACCTCAAAGTTTTTAGACAATTAATTTACTCTTGAACAACGACAAATATTGTGAAGAACAATAGTGATCTTAAATCATCATAACAATTAACAAACCATAATTTTCAAAAACAGTCTTTTGCTATAGTGTTTTGGAGTTGATGGTAATGGGTTGCTATTACAGGATTTAGGGTTAAAACTATTCTTGTGGTCTAAAATATATGATAAACTATCAGTTTAGTGATAGAAACATTAAGATAATATTTCGTTGGATCATCTGTCATAAGATCATGATAATTGTTTATTAATTGAAGGACAAGGGCAAGCATACAAAGTTAGTTATCAATTGGAGGGTTTACAATTTACTATACATTTTCATATAATAAGAACCGTTAGCCTCGTATCCTAAAGTGTAGTGTTAGCAACGATTTACTGGATAAAGTAAATCTTTAAAATATAACCACCGATTCTCAAGTTTGAGGAAGACGAGACGGGAGAGAGGGACTGGAGGGAAACTGGACGTTTTTGTGACTGGATCTTGGTTACCATATTTTTGTAGGATTGCAAATCCAGTATGTATGTTTTACTGTGTCAGTCAAATGAGTATAAACGTTGCTTTCTGATGTTGAGTAAATTCTCGATATCCTATTAGTTTTGAGCTTATAACGATATTCGATTACATAGCACCCAGATTAATGAAGAATCATTACATCATTCATCATCACAATAGTTGCATACTGACCGATTCATACTGCTTCCCCGATTCCGTTCTCTTCCTCATACACAGAATTGCTTCAATTACTTGCATCAGGAAGACCGGAGGCGATATTCTGTCTCACTCGCTCTCTTTGCACTTGGTTGGCTTTGCTTTGACTGACCACATGCTTCAGCTTCAGCTTACATAATACGTTACATATTTACATTTTTTTTATGATTGACAATATTTAGCCACGATATAGTGTTAAGGTCTATTCACTTAATCATGTTTGATTTGTATAGGTATTACTAATTATATGTTTGTGAAAGGAAAACTTATCCAAAAGTTAGTTGTTATGCTATAATTTACTTTAAAAATTAATGGATGAATTAATTGACCATAATCCGAAATCGATATTTATATTCAAAATCAATTAAGTTACATGTAGGTTAAATGAGTAAGGTATCTAATATCAATATGTAAATATAGTGCAGCTTTGAAGTGAAATAGTATGTTCCAATCAGAATTGCTTTTGAAGATTATTTTAACCCAAATTGAATTGAGCAATGAAATCATTTTTGGTTTGTTGATTTATGAGATATAAAGATCCAAGTACAGTACATACAATAACTATTTTAAAAGTGTTTACCAAGTTTTGAACGTGGAAGTCTTAATACAAGCATGTATAACCAACGTAAAAAATAGGAACCCTTTGTGAAAAAGAAGACATCATTTGTCTCAATCTAAATATAGGAATCTAGTATATAAAGGTATAACAAAATCAAAATAGTTATGTGTAACTATATATTTTGATATTCAGCAAATAAGACAAAATACAAACCATTTGTACAAAACAATCGTCAACAATCTATTAATCACATTTTTTAAACTTATAAACATATATACAAAATATACATGGTATAGGTAGATTAATTAGGATTTTGATTTAATTTGTTGAGCTAATTAAAACTATCAATGCGTAAACAGAATATCAATCTATTAACACACACTATAGCTATTTAAAAAGTAATAAAAATTAAAGATTAAAAATCAGCAAAAATTTAGACTTAGAAATACTAATTAAATTGTATTTTTCGCTGGAATGAGTTTTTAACATTATAATTGAATTTTATCTACATAAGGAGAATACTTTTTGTTGTTGAAGCACTAAACCTATGAGTGAAGAATTTCTTTGGAATAATCTTAGTAACAACATTACTTATGATGAGGATGACTATGATGATCAATGGTGTGATTATGTGAATGATGATGTCACACTGATGACTTGATGATGTATGATGATGATGCGTGATGATCACGATGAATCTAGATTACATTATCCTTGCGATGACTTAAATCTGGAGCTAAGGCCTGAAACAGAAGCAGACCTACCTTTATAACAACAGAATAAAAGTGAAACAATATCACAACAGGGTAGAATTTCAAAAAATGTATAATTTTGATAGGTCTACTGTGCGATTCTTAGAATTTTTTTAATCGCATCAAAGTTTACTCGAAAGTTTAAAACGAAAATGCAATTATACAAGTTGGGTCCTTTAGGAAAAAACTTTTAAATATTCCTTAAAACCTAAATCACAAATTAGTTTACGACTCAAAAAAAATATTTTAGGGAACTCCTTTGAAATATTTTGTGTATTTTTTCTTATGTCTATACAATAAAGTATAACCTTATAAATCATGAGACTATAATGTTTGTCTGTCTGTATGTGATTTTAACAAATGTAAACATAAGTTTTTGATCTTTTTAATGATTGACTTAAAAATTAGTTCATGAGTGACAGAGATGGCCTAACTCAAAGTATTTGGTTTCCAATTTGTACCAACACAAAATGACGGTAATTGATAAAGACAACATACCTCATATGCACAACAATAAGAACAAATTTAAACATAATAACCATTATATACGGCAAATAAATTATATAACAATTAAAAATTAAAATATCTTAATTGTTTATGGACCTATAGAACCTATAGATAACTAAGAGCGTCTCCTCAACCTTGAAGAATACAATTGAATCACCTGAACCACCCTGAAGACCATTAGTTTCAATAAAGAAGGCAGGGTTCGGCCTTTCCGCTTTCTGACTTTGGTAATTACTCTAGTGAAAATTTGGTAAGTAACGAACTAGTGGCGAGTGATATAATACAATAAGAAGATTGATCGTTCCAGCTGGTTCACTGTTTAAATGGTCAAGGAGGGATTACACTTCTGTTGAACAACCAACCATCATCGGATAAAGTCTTAACACGGAACGTGTTTGGTTCTTTAATGATTTGTTTACATTTATTTACACTAGAGGTCGTCCAGTTGTCGAAAACTCGACCAAAAACATTTAACATACACGTATTGACTATTGGATACTAAAGGAGACTTTCCATCTGTATGAACTGTCGCCATTTTTTTTTTACACATGTAGTTGTGTGAGCCATTAACCGAAAGCGTGTCATTAATTCTATTTTCTACCTTTTTTTTGTTGCTGACAAAGTTGATGGGTCATATCAGTTGCTATAGCTAATTCAAACAGTTTGACTTGGTAAAAAACATCGTGTATTCGATAGAAATTTAAGTCACTTAGGTCAGCGCAGTCTGTTGGTGGCTCACATGAACTACGACGAATTTAATAATAAAAAATAATAAAAAACTGGTGACAACTTTAACATGGGAATGTAATGTAAGCTTTTCTTCTTCAGGCTTCTCTATTTTCACCCCCCCCCCCTGTAAATAAAACATATGATTGAAATTTCTTCCATTTGTTTTGATTTTCTGTTTATATTTCGTTGTTATTTCGTCACCATCATGGCAACCCATAATGTTATTTTTTTTATTTCAAATCCATTTTTTGTGCTTATATTTGAGCCTGTTTTAATTTTTAAAGGGATTCTGCACTTCTACAGGAAAATATCTTTCCAGCGGTATGCATAGATTTTCCCTGCGATGCACACGAGCTGAGGAAAAAGGTTTTAAAGACACATGCTTGCCTATATTAATATATAGATAGATTGTTATACATATGTTTATATGTGTTACTGACTAAGATCAGCTGTTTTACTACCTAGGACCATTTAAAGCCCAATTATCAGGAATCAATAATTAAATCTAGCGATAACGTTATTGCATTAAACCAATTAAACACATATCACTAATAGCTGAAACAACAAATACCAGTATGTTGTGGTGCACAGTGTTTCCTGAAAACAGAAAAGTCCATCACGGCGAAGAAAGTTTGGACTCACCGGACATTAAGATTAGCCCGCGAATCACTCATGGTGAAAATTGCACGATCATTATGATCAGGGATGTGATGGAAATGTGACCGCTTGGACTTTCATACTCGACTATCATTTCACTCTGCACTGGAATTACTTGTTAATGGGTTATACATAACTGACGTGGCTATAATTACCACAGTATATCAAAACATCGTCATAGTATTCTCACAGAAATGTTCTTTGAAAACACCACCGAAACAGCAAACTTGCAGATGAATTTGTCTGAATGGATTTTGACTCTAATATTTTCTTAAACTAGTCGGACGTGCTCTTTTTTTAAATAACATTAGATTTAACGAGTACCTAGGTTTGCTACATGACATATGTTTTTATACTACTTCCCTTTTATAGGAAGGAAACATTTTTCTTCATCAAATGTTAAAATTATAGAATCAAATTAATAGGTTGGGCAAATTGTATCATAATATATCCTTAAACAAGAAAACTACAAGAGTTTTTTTTCCTCCTTAAGAATAACAGTACATTAGAATTTCAAATTTACAGCGTTTCCTCCATAACCTTTAACAATGTTTCAACATACTATTTTTTTTTTGTTTTTTTTTTTGGTCCTACACGATGGCTACAATAAAAATTGGACCCCGTGACAAGCCCGAAATTGCTGGTTGTACAACTCAATCAAGTTTTTCTAACTCTAGACATTCGTGCTAAATTTAATCAAAATCGGACAAAATTTGCTTGAATTATCTTGTTCGCGGACACAAATAATCATAAACAATAATACCTTTTTTTGTAGGTTATACGATTTTGAACGAATATTGTTTCTGGCTTCTGCGGACATCGAAATGAAAAAATAAATTCGTCCTGGATCTAGGTTAGATATTACCGTGCCTTCTACGGTAATATCTATTTCCCTATAGGATTCGTTGATAACGTTATCTTCAATAATTAGTATTACTGTTCTGCAGCTTTCATTATTATTTAATTGAAATTTCATTATTATCGACGTTAGTTATACATTTATTTATAATTATTTCTTATTTCATCCACAAAATCTGGAGATCATCTGTGTAATTTAGAGTAAACTATTTTCTCACTCCTAAACCCTAAACTAATAAATTAATCTCTAAAACGTTGAAATGTCCCATTTTCGTTGCAGCCGTCGTGTCGAGTGAAAAAAGCCAAACAATTTTGTAGCTTTATTGTGCAAAGGCTACAGAAAACGTCCTAAAACACTAGATTTAAAATCATCATGCTGTATACATTCATTTTGAACGGTATACATGCATATTTCCTAATGTGTAATCCATATAGTAGTCAAGATAAATCAAGAAAAAAAATTAAAAATATAAACGAGGCTCTACTTTAAAATGATACTGCAATAACTATTCGTAAATTACTCAAATTAGTAAATAAAATTTATACGGACAGTTTTTTATATAGACGAATTTCAAACTTTTTCATGTGGTACTTTAGCTGTTCATTTACTCTACTTGGCTCAATAGCTACTTATATAAACAGTCAGATAAAAAACCATTTATTTTCAATCCATACCGCTGATAAACATATACCGTTGTTAAATCCATTCAAGATAATTCACCAATAAAATTCTTCGGCCAGTTCCATGAACTTAGCTCTTCAAGTCGATTATATTTAAAAATTAAAGGACATCTAGTGCTTTAATAACAAACAGTACTTGTCCTTTGCGGAATGTAAGTGGTGTATGGTTGTATGTATGTATTATTATGTATGTATGTATTAAGGGTTTCACTTTATGTACATACATACAGTGCCATGTATACATCTATCTAGATCTTACACCTCTTACACACGAATAGGTATGTGTGACTTGTGTGTAGGTTTTACAAAAATCTATAGCAGGTATGTTTAACGAGCAGTGAACCCTTACATAAAAGACCTTACATCATCTGCAAGGCAAACCTAAACCCTAATGATTAGGCATAATCTGATTCGGTGTATCGTCTATTATTCTTTTTAATTATGTCTCTTCAACACTAAAATTCATCTCTGATGCGAATCTTAAAATAAAAACAATGCCTATATATATGAATGAACCAATTAATCTTTCTCTAATTAAAAGCGACAGTATAATTAACTGAGCCAATTATCATAATACATTATACAAAATAATATTAGCATTTACCATTGTGCAGCCGAGTATCTTCCGTTTCCCCCGAAAACCAGCCATTCTTTGCGAAAAGTTTGCATTTCCGTGTGCAAAGTCGGAGACTCGTACGGACGAGGATCGGATCACGCGAATTCCTTGTCTTCGGACAAAGAAGAGTCATAATTAGGTGAAACTCGTTGCGTGCGGTGTTCCGAACCAGTCGTCAGTGTAATGACACTTCCTTGCTACAGATGGCAATTACCACCACGTGCGTGGTCCTGTCACCGCCCCCTCACAACAACTCACTCCGCTCGCTATGGTCAGTGGTCAGTGGTCGAGGCGTTAAACAGATTGACACCTAGGTCACGGACAAAACAGCTGTTGTACAATATTGGGTTCTGCCGTGGACAGAGTCGTCCCTACAAAGCAAACGGTAACATTTTTGTTGTGTTACGTGATGTAGATTACCGCACTCTACAGCACTGAAGACAAAATAATTTCTGTACATAAACAATATAGGAAATAAGGATACACCTCTCAATTGGGAATCCGTCGTAAAAACTTATCTTTGTATCTAAGACTCCCGACTACTAAAGCCTCGACGACGTCAAAGTTTCAATATACTGAAAGTGCATATTTTATTTTACCAATATCAGTTCCATAATTGTTTTTTTCCTTTGGTAGGTCGCGGTCAACTCGTAGCGTCCGGTTGTAGAGTACCAAATCTCAAAGTATCAAAGAGAAAATAATTCCAAACCCCCGAAAGATTGAATCAATATTGTTATAAAGGTGGTGTGAATATTTCTCTCGCTTGGAGAGTCGTGGTATAAATCCCTCTCAAGAGATCGGATTGACTATCCGACAGACTGAACAACAGTGAACAGACTGCTACAGCACATCACTCACCAGACATTCAAACGCCACTAGTTAAATTAATACCAAAAGTTAAACAAGTAAAGAGCCAAGTTCTCACATGACAAAGTCACATCGTTATGTATGGCTTTTTCATAAATATCCCTCCATATGGTGGTGATACGCAAGGCCCCACTAGGAAAACGCCCCAAGAATGAGCAAATGTTTTCTTCAATTAAAATTAAAAATAGCCTTAAAAATATTACTTTGGTAAGTTTGTTACTGATTCCAATATTATGGAGAAACCTTTTAGGGGAAGTCTTTAATGAAACAACTGTGAACCATAATTTAAGATAGGCGTGAGTTTAAAACGATTCTGAAATACAATAAACGATTTCCAGTAGTATATATTCACTTCAACTATGTAAAAATGGGGAACTTCAACAGCCTACAAGACTGAACTAACTAATGAATGCACGGATTTAGACGTGATAGTTAACTACCCTTTGAAAGTTAATTTCTCATCGGTTGATCAGTTATATTGTAAATCTAAGGGAAACAGAAAAGTGATCGTACATCTTGAAAGGGTCTTTAATCTGTGATCAGATTGTTAAGTTTTCATTCTACGGTGGTGGTTACTTACCGCAGGTTAGTAATGATCGTCGTGGTAGTCCTCGTGGTAGTCGTGGTGAACCTCCTCGTGGTGGTGGTGATGATGGTGGTGGTGGTGATCGTAATGCTCGTAGTGGTGGAAGATCGGAATCTTCTTTATATGGTGATGATGAATTGTGTGGATCTTGTAAGGCACGTGGATTATGAATCTGGAAGACAAAAAAGTAATGAGATTCACAAACTGTAATGTTCATGCACAATCCTTTATTGGTTATATTAAATAGTCGTATTTCTTGACAAATTTGATCAGAATGTCCATGCTTGATCGCCAAAACAACATTTTAAATTTTCTAATAAAACCTATTGATAAGTTACCACACATTTCCAATTTCTTTTAATTCAATTTTTTATGTTGGTTAACAGGAAAGTAAAGGTTTAACTGATTGTGGAATGGTTGGGTAAGTTTCAGAGGCTGCGTTTTATAAGATAATTGAATCGTCATCCTGATTGCAAAATGAATCAACAGTTTACTGCAATTATTTAAATAAATTATAAAGCGTTCTCAAACAATCAAGTTCAGTTTTGACTATTTTAAGCTGAAAAGAATCATTGTAGAAAGATATTTATGTTCAGAAAGTTTCATAAATTAAAGATTGTTACCAAATAAATATGTTGGGGCATCGGGCTATCCGGCTATGGAGCAATCATTTATATTGCAAGCGATTAATGAGCGTAATCATTTAGGAAATCATTTTGGAAAAGTGACTCTTTTTGACCCGAGGTCAAGTTTTACGATCGAGGTGAAGCCGAGGTCGGATAATAAGTGAGGGTTAAAAAGATACTTTTTGCCCGTCTTGTGAACTATATTTTTCGTCATATTGCATAATTAATTAACAAACTAAGCTAGAAAACGAAATAATTTGTGTGTAAAGATAACCTCTAAAAACGACTTCCACCTTGTTTTCAATTCTGCTAATGCAAATAAGCAGCTGTTTAGTGAGTGATTCAATAATTTCGTCTATTACGATTGTGTTACAGTATATTATACCATCGATAACGAGCGATCGACCATATTAGGCTAACACTTTACCTAATAATCAGTCGATGAATAATTTCGAACGATAAAATTAACACATTCGAAATTTACAACTATTTACAACAGCTGATTTTTACTCCCTAGAGACCGAAAAATGATTTTTTACTCCTTAGATAGTAAAAATGCTACTTTAAACCCGCAACGCATGCATTGAAAACGGCTGTTTATGCTGCATTATGACAAAAAAGGTTTTTCAAAATATATTACCAAAATATTCAAAAATATTATTATTAAAATATGTTACAGTTGAGTATGTACTGATTATGAAATGTTTGTTTAGTCTTGGCAAAGGTCAGTCCAACAACATACTGTACTTTGCAGTTCAATCAACCATTTCTTGTAGATCGGAGCTAGAATGTTAACAAGAATTAACTAGAATGTTGAAAGAGAAAATATGACATTATCTGAGACAGTTCCTACATCGCTCCATTATCTACTCGGGTAATAGTTTCCCTTTGGTAATCGTTACTTAACGATTAGCGACGTTCCTCAGATCACAGCTGTTAAATGCGTCTTCTAAAAGTAATAAAGTACTTGCATGCTCACGAAACGATTTCGCACATTATTAAACGTTTCACGAGTTCGTTAACATATTTTCAATTATTTATTAATGTATAACTATAACAGCCTCTATTATTGCCTATAAAAATGCAAGCGTGTTGTTTTTAACTACTTGTATTTTTTTGCTGTCAACACTGAGTAGTTTTTTTTTAAGTATGTGTGAAATAAAAGGTCTCACTATGTTAAAAAGTACTAAATATACGATAAAAATTTAATACTGTACGTACTTATAGTTTCGATTGCTATCTACAAGTATTATTGAATACAGTGCTATGCTACATACACTGAAGGTGTTTTCACTTATAGGTGAAAGGATTTTTTTATTCATGATGTACCGAGATACCGTATCCTACTTCCATTTCCAATAGTAAAAAGTTGCACTACATGGCAGAATATATGATCCCCTAGAAATAGAGACAATGACACTAGAAGGTGTGGATTTCCATATCACCTATTTCTCAAATCTAGGGAGAGAAAACTCAGATTATTAAAACTAATATTTTTAGGGGTTATTAATTTAAAAACTATTTTCAACTTACTACATCAATTTGAATGATTTTTTCACCAAAACTCATTTCTCTTATTATACTACTCATATAATTAGGCCTAACCATAATACATTTAGGATGATTTTTATGACATAAATCTTATTGAAAGATACGGAAATTTTTAAAAATGCAGGCCATTTTAATTTGGATTTATTTAGGTTATTCTAAATAGTTTTTTTTTTCTTAAAAACTCGGAGTGATGAATTCATAATAGAATTGTTCTTAGGTTAAAACATTGCTGAGTTTTTACACTAACGAACTTAAAACGTTTATGTAGCTAATGAGTTTTATATAGTGTACAACGCACAGAGTGATTATTACACACCTTAAGATAAATTCAGTACACTGCAGTACCTACACATTTTATTATGAATATACTGGTAAATTAGTCATATACGCTTTAATAGTTATCGTTGGAAGGCGTATTTTCATATATATATACTAAATTGGTAATGTATTTTGTAAAGCTATATCCGGGCTTTCCAAATAGGAACAAGCTGAATTGTAAAAAGTTATGTAAAGTCTATTAATAAGTTAATGTAATAAACAATGAAGTTATATTCATTTTTAAAGCTGCAAAAATAAGAAACATAAATTATCTGTGTTCGTGGTCATTTTTATTTATTTTGTTGACTCGATTAGTCATGATGGTGTAAAGGGAAATCAAAAGTTAAAATGTAACGGTCTATACAAGTTTTACTGTTTACCTTAGATAGATGATTATTTATTTCGGTATCATTTCGAGCTACAGCGAATAAGAGTTTAAATAAATACAAGTTTTGCTATTATCATAGACGAAGCAACACAACTAAGGGAGTATGTTTTGTCTATGCTATTATTATTGATTCAGCTATAAGAGTTGTACTTGCACGACGCTAACGAAATCGGGTACACTTGGAAATAAATGCTAACATACGAACCGATTATCAAAACAACGTCTTAATAAAATAAGCCCATGATTAAAAGTTCAGGTGCCACACCACCACTGCAATTGAACATAAGTTTTCTTAACTAATTGTAACTATTGGAATTAATATGGTAGCTAAGAAAACACATTTTCTTTGAATTTAAATATTTCATGATTCCAACAGTGTATAACCTTATTTATATAACCTTTTAGGAACGCATAATTATCAGGTCTTTTTTTCAAAAATGTTCATGTAAATAACGGTAAATTGGCATAATTGAACATAATGTTTGTGAATTAGATAGTGTATAAATGCACTTTGATTATCTTAAGAAATGTTTGAGTTAGTTTTGATTTAAAATAGTTACACATTGTAGAACATATCAATTTTTTGCAAAACCACACAATTATCCCTTCTTCGGCTTGTTAATATATTTTGTACGTCTTTAAAGACACGTTTTAAGGGTTTTACTAAGTTTGTTATGTTTCATTAAACGTTTGTAAAACATATTTATAAATAATGTAAAGAGATTTGAAAAGGTTTATATACATACTTTTATAACTAACTATTCATGTTACATTTTTTTGTAAGCTTCAAACTTCTTGTAATTTCAAGCTTTTAAAAAAGGTTTAAGGTCCAATCGTGAAGAATCCTTATCAAGTCCTCAAACACAAGAGTTAGATGGATTATATGTTTTTCATCACTTCAAGCTCGTTCACCAATAAGAAAGTACTTATTATTTCAAAACAATTCCACGCATTCTTTGATCAAATCTAGTAATTAACTAATGTGCTTTGAGGTGTAAGACCTTTGGATTTATAAAAATAAGCAACGATAGATTATGTGTCAAAATGAAATCTGTTGATACTCACTTTTTATGATGGTGTCCGTCAGGAGCAGGAGCAGAAAATATTAATCCAACCATCGCTATCAGCAAAATCTGGAAATATTTTAATCGCAAGAGAATCTCAAAAACTTTTTAATGCAACTACAATCTAGTCATTGGAACCTGTAAGCATAGAAAAGGTCTTGCCCTTGCTTTAAGTATCTGGATTATATCAAATGAACTATGATGGCGTGATGTAAACATGTAGGTCCATTTCGTTGTATGAATCATATGAAAAGAAAATTTAAGCTTAGGCCTACACACTGAAGGCTGTCAGAACAAATCCATCTATTGATGTTGACGTTTTGCATTTTCGAAACATTATGGACTGTATGCCGATGAAATTAATTAAATATTGATATACAATAAACCCAAAAGGTGAAAGTGTTATAGTAGCTAGCTATATTGTTAGTAAACAAATTGTTCAATAAATACAGTACATTGTTCCACAAATATATTACTTATGATACATAAATCCGGTAAAACTAGGGACTAATAATGTTCAATTAAACATTAAGACAAAATCTGCCAAAAAGATAATCTAAAAAGATATCAAAACTATTTTTTTTCAAAGATGTTTAAGCTTATCTCTATAAAATACTTGTTTACTTTACAATATTGACGAATAATATTAATTTACACAAAAGCAGCCATGTAATAAAAAGTTTAAGTAAACTTATATTGTTTGTTAAATTTGTTATATGAAATAAATAAAACCAAATAATTTTCGGTATCGTTACAGTATTTTGATGTGAGAATGTAACTAAGAAATGTTTTTTAGTTATTTATTTATCGAGTGAAATGCTACTCACGCCGAGTTTGGCCAAGTCCATGGCGAGGCAAGGACCGAAGCAGATACTATGTGAATCGACCGTAACCTTCACCGCGTCGCTTATATAGACTGGGAAGGAGGTACTATGGTGCTGGGGGAGGGGGCACTTTCATGCATATGGTGCACTACTGGCTTATGTCACAAGTATGATTACAGATCACAATGCATGGCGTGCATGTTGGTGAGTTTTTGATAACTGTCGCCGCAGACAAGGAAACTGAAGGATTTCCAAAGGTGTTCGCTAAAGAAGTGGATTTTTGTCACCAGCTCCGCAAAACTTCAAATATGAGTTGTTTTGTTTAATTTTAAAACGTACTTGTGACAGAGTTACTTGAATAGCCCTCGTAAGCCTGCGACATGAAATGAAAAATTCTGATGAGGGAAAACTATTTCCATAAATTATATTCATTATATACTTGACTCGTGAAAATGCGAATGGCTTTTGACCTCATACATAGTTAATCAACAAATGTTTCACGTTTTATGAACATTCACAATTACCAATAAACTTTAAATAATGATTTGTTTGAAGCTCAATTTTGGAGATGAGTTTGTGACTTTCTTTTTTAGATTTAATGTTGTTCAATGGATTATTACGGACATTTCAGAGGAATATTACAGGCTTATTACAGACATTACGGAGATTTCATATCCTAAAAACTTGCTTTCATCATACTGCAGCAAAACAGCCGTTTTTATACACGCATTACGGGTCCAAAGTAGCTCTTTTTCCCTAGGGAGTAAACAGTATTTTTCGTCATACTGCAGCAAAAACAGCCGTTTTCAAAGGCATGCGTTGCGGGTCTAAGTCTAAAGTATAATTTTTACTCTCTAGGGAGTAAAAATCATTTTTAGTCTCTAGGGAGTAAAAATCAGTTGTTGTAAACAGTTGTAAATTTCGATTGTGGCAATCGAATTGATCGAAATGATTTATTGATTGATTTATTATTTAAGGTTTTAGCGTATTGTAGTCGATTGCTCGACATATCGATGGTATAATGTACTGTAACACAATCGTAATAGACAAATTGAATGAATCACTTACTAAACAGCTGCTTATTTGCATTGGCAGAATTTGGGTTATCTTTACATAAAAATTATTTCGTTTTCTGTTTTGTTTGTTAATTAATGATGCGATAGTACGAACACACGGGCAAAAAGTGACTCTTTAGGCCCTAGTGATGAAATATACGATGTAGTCCCTATGGAGTTAGCTGTTGCAAACTTCGATTGTAAGCAATCTTATGTAGGAAAAGTATGTATCGATTGATTAAATAGGTTTTAGCTTTTAATATCAATACAACTTTATTATCAATGGTTTTAGTTTATTGTTGCATTCTTGTCAATATTTCGACATGTCGATAGTACATTAACACTGTCGTAATAGACGAAATTATTGCAAACTTACCATAATGGTACAATATGACGAAAAATATAGTTTATCACATGGACAAAAGTTTCTTTTTAATCCTTGCTCATTCTCCGACCTCGTCTTCACCTCGGTCATCAAACCTCAGCTCGGGTCAAATAGAGTCATTTTACGCACTTGTGATGGAAAATCTCCGCAAACAAAATTAAATAGTTTTTTTTTTACAATCGCTGTATTGTTGCGGAAGTTTATTTGCATTCAAGTCACTGCCGGCAATATTCACTTTGTTTACTCAGGTGCTATTTAGAGTTATAAACAACAACATTGACAACTGACCTTATTTTTGCTACCATTGATTTCGAAACATTAGAGAAATACAGTATTGCCAATTTTGGTTTAGTATTAAGACATATTATTAGGCTTCGAAAAATATACTTCAGTAATCATTGAACTTAATGAATGTTTCGATCCGAAACTGCAGTAATACTAAATGCCAATGGTGCTGGAACACACAACATTGACTTTTAAAATTCTCACTTCTCTTTAGTATCGAAATACTAATTTAATATTCCATTATACTTTTTTTATGTAATAAGAGTAAGTCGTTTCAATCCATTTAGTTTTTCAGCACCAAGACTCAATATTATACTACCAAAACAATCTCTGCAAAACATATAGGCCTATTACATAGATTTTAAACTTATTATACATTATTTTATAACAGTGGCAATATATAGCTTTGACAAGAGACCTGCGATGGCCTGTGTCATGGTAGCCATTCATTGACTGAAGCCTGCAGAATGGTGTTGTGTTGAAGCTGAATCATCAGTTACTTAACGGTTTGCGGCGTCGTACCCCTCACCTTGGCCTGGTCGTGGACCTCCAAGGTTACTCTTACTTTCCTCCTCCGATGCCATCGCCGCCCCCGGTCGGGACTCCGCCCCCTTGGATGTCCGTCATCTGTTTGAAAACTGTTATTCTGTTTTGGTATGCACCTGTTGGACTGAGTTTCCATATATTTCAGTAATACAATTTTTGGTATTGTTATATTTTTTGTATGGGTACTGAATAAATGTAACAGTGAAATGTTGCTTAGTGGGAGGGAATTAGAATCTTATAGCTATACCTGGTTAGATAAAAGTACCCTTATATGTGAAAAGGATAGTAATTTTCGGATCGAGTAGAATAGATCATGTTGTTACGAGACTGTTGTTCACGCAGAGTGTAGAAGAGACTATCAAACTATGCGTAGCGAAAAGAACAAATCATGTTTAAGTTTAAGAAGCTTAATAAATAACGCTGTGTGTAGGCTAAAGCTTTGGGTTTCTGTAACCAGATAAATTTAAATACTCTTATAAATCAAAATATATTTACATTAAAAATTTGCTTTTAATTTGTTAAAGCAGTCGTCACAACATCGTCACTACATTATTGTAATGAAACAATTTTATGTATTAAAAACCGCATAATTTAATTAATTTTTTTGATCGAATAGATTCCATGGGAGGAATATAAAATTGTAAGAAGTTTTATTGTAGTTGTAAGTTTAATGAATGTTGTAACTATATACTTCAGAGTCGTTAGAATGATGCAGTTGTCTAACCAAAAAAAAATCGTATTCCACAACATATTTGAGTGGTTTGGAATATGGTAGTAATAATATCATAATATACACATGAAGTATATAAACAGGCCCGTGAAATATGATCCGTGATTAAGTACAAACAATGAAAATCAACTGTCTGGATAAAGATAGCCACTAAGTTAATATCCCTATTATTTACGTCTCAGAGCTTCCAGTAAATACTTATCGTATTATCTTATACATTTTCTAAGCTCTACTGTAATAGTTCCTTTACTTTACATAAACACAGAATATCTGACAACAAAATTTGCTAATTGGAGCAACATTAAATGTTACACTTAGTTAGGTCTTTTATTCATATTAGAAATATCGTGTTGGCATTGGTATTATTCGGTTGAGTGCAAATCTCAAACCTTGGAAACAATTGGTTTAAGATAAATTTAAGTTATTTTATTATATTTTACAGAAAATAAGTCACAAATTATAGAAAACAACATATCCAGGGATTGAACCTACTGTGTAATGACACCTGGTACCAGCAACTTTCGCTATGGCTAAACTTCTGCCACCTTTATCACTTTCACCATTTTATATGATAACATCTGGATGATGTATCAGTACCCTTCACATCAGTTACATATTCAATACCAATCAATATTTTATTATACCATGTCAATGTGTTTGTTTTTCTCCTTTAGGTGCATTTATCCACTAATTGTGGTGAAACTACGTTCACGACGAGTTCATACACACAGTAAACTTGGTTTCATATTATGTAGGCCTAAACAAGTTACTTGCAAGGGATAGGCAAGCGTAAAATTCTGTAGCTTCCAAAAATACAGGGTTTTTTTTACACAATCCAGTTTAAAAGTACTGTTTAAAAGACACATTTTAATGACGAAACCAGCTTAAATGCCTTTCCCTGTTTTCCTTCCTTTATTGTCGATCAGCTGATATGCATTGTTGCACAGTTATATATAAGATTTAGTGCTATTTGGATTTTATTGTAGGTAGATATGACCATATGTTTTATCTATGATATGACCATAGATAAAACATACTCCTATGATATGACTCAGCATGGCGTTCTCCCAAGCTCGAAGAGTTTTAAGAAAAGTTTATGCATGATATGTTTGAAATTAAGTTCTCAGGCATGATTCCAGTGATAATAAATTAACTATTAATGACATGTACTAATTTAAGTCAACCGGATCTGAAGAAAAAAACGTAGACCTAAAATACACCGTACTCTATTTAAGCTTGTGAAAACACCCTGTTGTACTATAGCCTTAGCTATAAATGCTATAGTTAAATATTGTAATTTAATTTTATTGGAGACTCGGTTCCCAAAAAGTCCTAAGGTCAATGTGTTATACGGAGGTTTTGATTCGATCTAGATAAAGATAAAAACTATTTTTACTAAACCATTTTCGAATCGTGGTTCTAATCTGGACCCAGTTGTTCTTGGTCATCGGGATTTTTTATTAATTATTGTTGTAAAATGTATTTTAGGGTAGGGATTTAGATTAAAACTAATGTAACAGTGGGTATATGTTGAATATTTGATAAAAAGAATTACATAACAATAAACTTTCATATAATATTATAATTACTCTACTGAGTGTGCACAAAAAATGTTTGAGGCCAAATCACACAAAATGTCCGACACCCTTTATGTAACCCTACACTAACCCCATAACACTTTCTGCATGCAGTCCCGGAGCAGGGAATCGTCTTTCAAGGACCTCAAGGGAGAAAGCAAAATATCCATTACTTCTAGTTTTTTCTCATCTTCTTCAAGACATTGCAGGTCAGAGGTGTCATAACTCTCTCAGAGCAGGAAGAGAGCATAAATATCTGTAATGATCTGCTACTGCTGATACCGGACGGCTACGGCGAGTGTGAGTCAACTTGTAATGGTTATTAAGAGATATGGCAGTGAGGTAGGCTATGAAAGTAGATAATTCCTCGTCAGTTATTACAGAATCACTACCATAATTAACCTGGTGTGATGTTAAACTGAGTTTAGAGTTATAGTATTTTGTCTCATTCAAGCACTTGTAGTAGTCAAAAGGCTAGTGAAAT